ACCTGGGGAGGGGCGGAGGGGCGGAGGGGAGGAGGGGCCTGGGCCCGGCCAGCGCACCTCCGGGCTCCTGCTTGCTGCTTGGGCGGATGGCACTCCTTCACTCGCAGAGCGCTGGGGAGACCCGGGTCCGGGTAGCCCCTGTGGTTCCTCTTGGGTCCTGTTGAGATTCCTCCCCAGGAGGAGAGCTGCTCACGCGCCAGGGCCCTTTACGGGGTCGCTCTGGGGCCTGCTCTCTGCCTGCAGGGGTGGCAGCATGCCCGCTGAGGCCGGGGACTGGGAAGCGGGCTGGGGCGGCAGCCTCAGGGCCTCCAGGCTCAGCCTCCCATCTGGAGCCTAGGGCTGGCTGGGCTGTCAGGCTTGGCGAGGACGCAGACCGTCCTCAGCCCTGGGTGCCTCTGCCAGTGTGAACTCACTCATTCCTCAATACCACGCCGCCTGGGTCGGGGGTCGGGGCTGGTTTCCCCTTCGCAGACTGGGAGGTGGAGGTCTGGCTGCCTCGGGCTGGCCCAAGGGCTCCGAGTGGCCATGTCGGGCAGGCGGAGCCCCGTCCGGGCTGCTGCCTCGGAGGGAGGGCTGCCCTGCACTCCCGGTTTCTCTCGTGCTCTGTGATGTCGCGAAACCTCCCGGGCCAGGCCGCTCCTGGGCTGGCCCCTGACCCCGAGTGCCCACACCCTACACCTGCTGAGCTCATGCCCAGCCTGTGCGCACCTGAGGCGGCCCGGCCCGCACCGCTCACGCCCGCCGGGCGCCCGGCACCCTTTGCACCGCGGGTTAACCATTAATGCTGCCAGGCAGCCTCTTGGGCCTGGTGAACCTGATCCTAGTGCTTAGGGCCCGGCTGGCCTGTGGGCGGGGCTGCCCGGTCCGGGGTGTGGAGCTGACCCTCTGCCTGGGGTCCTTCTGACGCCTGGTGTCCAGAAGCCCCAAGGAGGCCGCGAAGCGGTCCCTTCCTGCAAACCCCTCCTGGCTGCCCCCGGAAGCAGGGCCACCGGGTGGGGGCTTCTGGTCTCAGCTGCGGTCTCCTCACTGCCCCGGCAGGGAGCTTTCCTTGACCTCTGTGTCCTTGGGGGTGGCCTGGGCTCTGCCCCTTTCCACCTCAGTTTTCCCAGTGAACAGCGAGGGGTGGAATGGGTCATCCCTGAGGGCTCTTCTTGGACTTGGACCCTGGAAACGCTGCAGGACTGGTTCTGTTGGCACAGACGGGATGCCTACTGCGTGCCCAGAGCACCTACTGTGTGCCTAGCCCCATAGGGTGGGGCAGAAGGTGATGGCCGCCGTTCCCCTGCATGTGCCTCCGGCAACAGGCATGACAGACTAGTAGTTAGGGACGGGCTGGTAGGGTCGCTCTGGGGAAGGGGGCCTGCCCGTGCCTCCGTTTGCTTTTCTGTAAGCGAAGGCGACAGTCCTGCCTCCTCACGGGGTGGCTAGGATCGGGTGCACATTGGCTCCCATGAGGAAGGAGGTCGGGGGAGCCAAGTCTCGTCCCGTAGTCCTCGCCTCTGCACCGGGACGGAGGGCGTGCGGTCCCCCGGCTCTGTGCCCAGCGCTGGGCTGCTGCCCGAGTAGATGCTCCCCTGGTCCTGTATGAGGTGTCTGTTGGCACCAGGCGTGCGCGTGCACTGTGTGGATGTGTGTGCACGTGGGGGTTGCATTCCCACGACGGGCGTGTATGATTTGTGTGTGCAGGCGTGTGTGGGGGCGGAGCGTTCTCATGACCAGGTGAGCATGTGTGTGTGTGTTTATGTATGTATGAGTGGGGTTGCATTCCCGTGGTGGGATGTGTGCACTGTGCGTGCGTGCGTGAGTATATGTATGCATGCGGAGTTGTGTTCCCATGGTGAGGCGTGTGTGTGGTTGTGTTCTCGTGATGGGGCCTGTGTGCGTTGTACACGTGTAAGTGTGGGAGTGTTCTCGCCACAGGCCCGGCGGGGCGGTGGGTACCTGGGACGCCCGCCCCGAAGAACTAGGCCTTGGTTTCTTGATGGGGTTCTGGGGTGCCCGGTGGTCGACTCTCTCTTGGCCGGGTGGGGCCTGTGTGTGGTTCTGTGCCTGGGAGGCTACAGGCAGCTGTGGCCCCTGACGCACAGACGCCATCCCAAGAGGGGCCGCTGGCCACCTGATCCATCTGGGCTCCCGGCAGCCCAGCCCTCCTCCTAGGTCCATCTAGTGGCCTCATTGGTCTGGGGTCCCTGGCCTGTGGCTCTGAGGACCAGACTACCTCTGGGTGCTGGGAGAGGCTGGGCCTGGGAAGCCTCAGGCGGGTCTGCCCGGCCCGCCCGGGTCAGGGAATGGGGGCACCCCATCGGGCACGGCACAGGGGTCTTCGCCTCTCCGGCCCACGACCGCCCGATCCCAGCCCAGCTCCACCGACGCGGGCAGCGCTCGCCACCTCTCCTCCGTGTGGCGGGCAGGCGCCAGGACTGCCCCGCGAGGGCCCGGGCTGTGACTTTTTGTTCTTTAACAACGATGAACGGGTTTGAAGTACTTCCCGGCACGTGTGTGTGCACAGCAGATGCTGTCCTAGGCCGCCTGCGTCTCCAGCTCCTGCCGCGGGCCCCAGGCCTGCGTGAGCCTCGGGACTTATTTCCAACCCAACGGGACCCAGCCACAAGATCCTGCGCCGTGGCTTGTGCTGCCTCCCCTGGCACTCCTGCCGTCCCCACCGCGAGGGGTCGCAGCTTGGGCCGCCCTTGCCTCCCTCTCAGCCCGGTCCCATGCCGTCCTGGCGCCCGGGGTGCTCACAGCTGGGCTCTGTTCTCGCACAGGTGGCCAAGGTGGAGTACGTCAGGAAGAAGCCAAAGTTAAAAGAGGTCCAGGTGAGGCTGGAGGAGCACTTGGAGTGCACCTGCACCACCGCCAGCCTGAACCCGGACTATCGGGAAGAGGACACGGGTGAGTGGACGGGGCTGGGCCTGGCTTCCGCAGGTCGGTCTAGGAGGTGAGGCCTTCCCGGTCAGCATCTAGGTGCCGCTGGCCGTCGGCTGCCCCGCGGACAGGC